TTCTGTTACAAACTTAGACAAGGTGAGAGGTAAAATAGTCCCGCCACAGGCCGGCGTGAACTTTGTCCTCCACCTTCTTAAGGCGATGGGACCACAATGTAAGATCCGCGATGATGCCCCTAGTAACATCATGGGGTGAGACATCTAGATCCCTAAAAGTTTTAGCATTACGGCCGTCCCAAATTTTCCAAATGATAAGAACAAGAATGAGAGGCCATACTAACTCAGGGAGACTCGGGTGCCCATGGGAGACCCAAAGATGTGCAAAGGGGGTAGAGCAAGGGTGTAGACCAATGGCATCCCAAATGGCACGAGTTGCCGGACAGTGGAAGAAGAGGTGTGCCCCGTCTTCGGACGCAGCAGCGCATCGGGGGCAAGCGGCAGAGTCGATGATGGACTTTCGGAGCAAGTTTGCCCGTGTGTTGAGCCGGTCGAGGTAGAAAAGCCAGCCGAACACCCTCACTCTGCTGGGAACACGCGAGTCCCAGATACGAGCAAGAGTAGGGTCGGCCAGTTGAGAAGCCATCGCGTCGTAGGCACCCTTGGTGGTGAAGGCGGCGCCATTAAGTATGGTCCTGGCGTCGGGGGCACCCGACAGACTGACATCCTGCAACAGTAATCTCAAGGAAGCAAGTTCATTGGAAGCAGTTAAGGTTAGCCGGCTATGCAAGCCCAGATCAATCCCATCCTTCAATATAGTGGCTACGAATGCACATCCTTGATGACATTCTAGAAGAGACGAGATCAGCCCTGAAGCATGGCAGCTGGTGCAACGACCCAGGGGCCAAGCTAATTAGGGTCCCATACATCTGTTTTTTGCATTCTGTGAGAAACCCAATCATTCAGCTCAGGGGCAAATATGTTAGCCATAAGTTTGCACAAGACCTTAGCATTACTCTGCATAAGGCTGATGTGCATAAGGGTGATAGGCCTAAAATCCCTCAGATTACAGGAGTTATTCTTCTTTGGAATCAGAGCCCTCATCGAAAGAATATGATTCTTCCTCTGCCATCCATTTGCTCAAAGGTTGAAAAACTTTGTATTTGTGTGCCAACTTTGATCCAGGTGAGCCTGGACTTTGACACCATTTAACTCTGTGCACAGCTGCAGTCCCGAGTAGTCTGGGTCATGCACCTTAAGTTTCTTTCAGCCTCCGTGAGGCTACTCTCTTCCTGGGCAACATCAAGATTAAAATCATATCGTTTGCAGTAGCTTCCTGCAGCAGCAACTCAGACATCCCTGTTCTGTTTTACCTCTTGAGGGCCCGAGTGCACATTCTGGTTTGTTGAACTCAGATGGTGCCTTTGAATTTGATCTCTTTCCCCCAATCATGAAAAACAATCTGAAGAAAGGGTGATCTCGGAACAGGCTTTCATCCCTCTTTGTATATAATACAACAATTTCAAGTGCAACAAATGTAATAATATAGTCCTTTAGGGCATCAGCACAACCATGTCCAAAAAAACTTAAATAATAGGAAAAAAGACTACCAAGTGGCCGGTAGCTCAGGCGCGCCCTGCGGCAACGTCAATAGTTGTGTGACACTAGTCATAGCATTTATCATGAGGCCAAGCCAGTCGTGATCCCTCGGTCTAGGTAGAGGGTACAAGTGCTGAGAGTGCGAGGAATTTGATGATATAGTCAAAGGCCTGCCTAAGAAAGACCCGCTCAATAACTATCTTGTTGTGTGTCGTCCACAAGGTCCAAGCTAACATCGTGAACACAATCCAGAATAGGTGTCTCACCCTCCAACTCTGGTTTGCCATGTTTTGAATGAACCTGAGTAGGTCCGGGGCCTCCCAGTCGGACCCAATGCAAAGCTTCACAAACAAAGCACCAAAGTAATCTCGCCGCCAGGCACGAGAAGATGCGAGTACTCGTCTTCGGGATCACACAAAGAGGGCACAACCCATCACCAAGGCCGTGCCGCTTGATCACCCCCATTCCAGCTGGGAGGCGATCCCGCAGTAATTTACAAACAAAGATTTGGATCTTCAGAGGCGAGGGTGCTTCCCATAGCGGAAAGGTCCAGGAAAGAGTCAGCTGTCGACACATGGCATGATATACCGAGCCTTCAACAAACAACCCTAAGGGGATCAACCTCCCATATACGGTGTCCGAATAGTCTAGGAGCACCGGCAGGAGGGCTACCCTCAAGTTGGCCTGCTACATGGTCTGCACTAGCCCAAATGTCCATTGGAACATCGTGGGCAGCTGTGGACCCAACACCATCAGATTCGAGGAGATAGCAAACAGGTCTGGGAACTCCGTACACAATGAAGGTTCGTCCACCCACGGATCAAGCCAGGAGAGGGTCTTCTCTCTATTGCCAACATAGATAGAGAGCCTAGGACATATCTCATTCTTGATCCGGTTTGCAGACCTTCAGAATTAAGATCCCTCCCTATGTTGACAGGCAACTAGGGGTTGACCTTGCAGATACTTTGCTTAAATAAGTTGCAGCCATAAACCCTTATCTCCACGAAGCATTCGCCAGACGCATCTCAGCATAAGGGCCACATTCATGCGACGGGATGCAAGCATGCCTATCCCTTCCAGGTCTTTGCATGCATACATTAATTAGCCCATTTGACCATATGGTATTTTTGCTAGCCATCCTCCGCTTGCTAGAAGAAGCTGGAAATGTGTTTATCAAAGGAGCTATGAACCCCTTCTACAAGGATATACAACCCCATCTTATACATGGAAGACTTGATGGGGAGCAGCCAATAAGAACGGTCTTATTCCCTTTGGGCGTAAAACGACCCCACCATGGCTCTGTCCTAGACAGGACCCGAACCATAAGCGGGTCGAACTCATTCAGGGATACCATCGAATCAAACAACGACATCCCTAACTTTGTAATGGGGAAGGTGGGAACATGTATTTCAAGTTGTCCGCAATCCGCTACCGATTATCATTCGAGTACACTAAAAAGCACAACCCCGCACTTGTCAAAGTTGGTCTTAAGACCAGACATGGCCTTGAAGCACAAAAGAAGAAACTTGATGTTGATGATATCAAGATCCGACCCCTCCAATCATGGTATCATCCGCATATTGCAGATATATGACAGCACCACCAGGGATAATATGATCAAGCACACCAGAAATGTGTTCGACCATCCTAACCTTATCCAGAATGGCCGCAAGGGCGTCAACCGCGAGGTTAAAGAGGAGGGGAGGTGGGGGATAGGATTCCCCTGCCTCATCCACGAGAAGACATAAAAAATGGGGCCTACCTCCCCATTGATATTAATCACGGTACTACTGCTTTGAATCATTTCCATGATCCAGGAACACCAGCGATCATCAAACCCTCTTCGTTCAAGAACTAAGCTGAGTTAGGACCAATCTAGGCGGTCGTGGTAGTCTAACTTTACATCTCAGGGAGTGGGCTCAACTTCCGGAAACCCACTTCTGAAACCCAGGGAGGTCGATTTGCTTGACATGTAACCGTGTATTACAATCTGTTTTATAAAAGCAAGTTCAACAATTTAAATTCCTGTTCTATCTCTAGAGGAGAGTCAAATTCAAATATAGGCCCTTGAAATTCAAATGTAGGCCAGTTTTTTGGTATTTTTGTGAGAATTTCTAGCATGTTTCTCTATTTTTCTTATACACTTTTAGTACATAATATACTCCTTTTGTCACAAATTACTTGTCGCAAAAATGGATAGAAATAGATGTATCTAGAACCAAAAATACGTCTAGATACATCCATTTCTGCAACAAGTAATTCGAGACAGAGAGGGTAGATAGCTAGAATCATGACTGCGCTTAGGCATTAATTCTTATTGGCTCATATATAAGAGATTCACTAACCTGACACTCGGTTTCTATGCAACTATTGTGATTAGGATAATTCCTGAGTATGCAAATTGCTGCCTTTTTTGATTCACTAACATAGAATACATATTCTTTACAGTGATGGTAGAGCTTCTAGTGCAGTGGAACAAAAGCCTTACTACACAAGTGGACAAAGATAGGAGTACGCCGCTTCACTTTGCTTCATCACTCTTACTTTCTACTGACTCGTATCTGCGTTTTGAGCTCCTCCACAGACCCCCTTGGTGTCGTTTTGTATGGATTAACAGGGGATCCAACAAGACACTCGATACAGTATTCAAAGCGAACCCTGCAGCACTATATCAAGCAGACAAGGATGGATATTTTCCAATACATTTGGCTGCCTCTATGAGTGCCAAAGATGTCATACAGTTTTTCCATAAAGAGTATCCAGATAGCGTCAGATTGCGTGACGCTAAAGGAAAAACATTCCTTCATGTTGCTGTCAAGAAGAGAAGACTGAGCATAGTCTCCTATGTATGTCGAACACCATCTTTAGCTTGGATTATAAATATGCAAGACAATGATGGAAATACTGCACTGCACTTAGCTAGTCAGACTCAGAATTTCAGGATGTTCTGTGCTCTATTTGGGAATCTGGAGGTGAATTTGAATCTAATAAATAACCGCGGGAAAACCCCTCTTGATGTATCTAGAAGTAAGATTCCACACAGAATGACTTATACACAGGTAATACACTCTGTTTTACCTTCAAGTTCACCCCTTTGAATAAAAGAAATCATTCATGCATGGCACATTGTTTCATTTGTTACTCACATCAAGTTTCCAACCCATTTTTACTTCAGAACTTAGAGAATAAAATATACTACACATTGCAATCAGTTGGGGCGTACCACAGTGCCCTTCCCTGGGACAAGACTGAGGAAACGTACAGTCAGCATGAAAAGCCAGAAGACGAGGACAAAGAATCAGGGAGGCTGAAAGATGCAGCGCAAGCGCTTATCGTTGCTTCAGTTCTAATAGCAACCGTGGCATTCAGTGCAACATTTACTCTTCCTGGAGGTTATAGAGCCGATGATCATACAAATGGAGGCGTGCCAACACTTGCTGGAAATTATGTTTTTGACGTGTTCGTGATGGCCACCACATTAGCTTTCATCTCCTCCTCAATAGCTACTGTTGGCTTTGCGTTTGCGGCAAATCCCATGGTTAACATGATAAGCCGCAAAGACACCTTTGTCTTATCCATGCTTTCCATGTTGAGTTCAGTCACATCTATGTCTATAGCTTTTGCACTTGGGGTGTATATGGTGCTAGCTCCGGTTGCTCATAATACTGCCATTGCGGTTTGTGTTATCACTCCTGCCATATTGCTAAGTGCAAATATGAATGCTATTTCAAAAATGATTAGTCTTGCACGGCCGTTATGTATTAGGAAAGGGCTATTCCTAGGAACGGTACAAGTACTTAAGTCGTACATGCTCAGAGTGGTCTTTGTGCTCTGGCCATTCATGGTTACCTTTGGTTGGGCCGCGTTGGCAAGGATCCACCAGAACACCTAAAGTATTAGCATAAGCTTCGATTGAAACTGGTATTATGGAAGTATTTGATGTGTATTCTGGCTTGAAAACGTTCTTTCTGTAAGACTGATTGAATATGTAAGACATAATCATTGTTAAATATTTTCCCATGTATTCTGCAACCATGCTGGTCTTCAAAGACTGATTGAATATATGTAAGACATGATCATTGTAAAAAAATGCAAAGGTAGTCTGCATAGTTCTGTTATTTCCCCCAGATAGAGACAAGAGCTTTGTTGTGTTCCAGTCTCAGGTGTGGATCATTGCCATATGATCAAAGAAGAGAAAATTCAACAGCAGAAATTTGAATTTACAATTTACTTAGATCAGACCAATAGCTATTAGTATTGTAGTACTCCCAACTAACTAAAGTTGAGACACTTATTTTGGGATGGAGTGAGTACATACTAAATACAACTTGTCTCTGACAACTGAATCCAAAAAGGAAAAGTAGAGGGATGATTGAAGACAGCATGTCATGTTCCTCTTCATCCAATGAAAATGGTTTACTTTTAAAACGAAAATATAAGTTGTTAGCTCTGAAACCAGCCTGCCTTTTTCTCGGAAAGGAGGTTGAACCTCCGGCCTCTGCATTAAGGATGCACACGACCAGATTATTATATTATTCAACAAAGCTGTACAAGATAAAACATCGATTCTTCCGAATTCACCTTCTATGCGATAAAAGTCACTCCACCTACAAATTTGATGATGACGATGGTCATGAATAGGGCCGCATGCCTTGACGTCTCCCCTTCACATACCATCTAAAATCAGAGTACCAGTCCAGCACACTCTTAGCGCAGACCACATGTGCGCGCTTCAAAAGTCGCCGCCACCATCTTCCGCGAACCCATCTATACGGTGCAGGGATCAATGAAATGACCTTGCCACTTGCCAGGTTTGCCGTCGACGCCACCACGCCAGCAGATAGCGCCACCGCTCTGGTCTCGCTCATCCTCAAGAGCCCGTCACTGAGACCCACCTACACCAGGCTGCCAAGAGTCCGATACTCGCCGCCTTTGACTCGAAAAAGCACGCCGCTCCACCCCAACCAGCCAGCACATGCTCCACAAAAACGATGCCCCTCGGAGGGAAAACGGTGCCGTGCACCGCCATCATTTGAACCAGGAGACCCAGATCTAGGGTTTCCCCATAGCAGTGTGGGCGAGTAGACGAGAGCTGCAACAACGAGACCTCCAACAAGGAAATGACGCATATAAGTCGCCATTGTCCGCCATGAACGAAGTCGCGTGGTTTTAACTGGCAGCTGCACCTCCCCGAACCCACATGTGGCTTCTGATCCACAAACCGCGGAGGGCTATGAATCTCCCGCATCAGGCGCCGTCGACGCCGAAGAAAGCTCCAGCCGCCACGCTCCCCCAGTGATTAACCCGAGAACCGGATCCCTTGTTCCGCAGCCACGTGCCTCAGTTGATTTGAATTCCATTTCTGAATGAGTTGCAGGGCTAGTTAGCAAATAAAGAGTGTTAGGACAAAATATAAATAAAGGCAGTCATTAGTCATTGGTATAAAACAGCATGTGCTACATAGAGCATTAGAAGTGATTATTAGTGTGAAGCTGCCTGAATCGTCGGTGACATTGAAGGCGGTATCCATAACCACCGGGGCTGCTCCGAATATTAGGGACGCAGGTTTTGAAGCAGAAACTGAAACCGCCGCCGCGCCATGTACGAAAGCCGGCTCCAATGCCCTATCGAGTACTACTAATGGCCCTGATTTGATTGGAAGGATGGTCAAACGCCTTGGTCTGGTACTGCCCTCCATTGTGACCATACTGAAAAAGAAATGTTCTCGATATGCACATTGATTGAGAGCTTCTCCAACAGACGCTGCGCTACCGCGCGACGCGTTAGAGCAAAGCTAATAGAATAGCCTGTTGCCGGCTCTATACTAGTGCCAGGTCAGCCATATAGCTAACGCATATAATAAACGCGCGCCGTAGGTTAGCTATTGCCTTTAATGTTTGCATGGAGAGAGATCCAAGGAAATGCAGAGTGATTGGCTGGTTGCCAGCTCTGCCCTGGTTGCCAGCTGCATGCTCGCTCAAATGCATTGGAGCTTGTGTTAACGCCCGGCGATAGATGAAGCGCCAGCTCTATTCTCTCTCCCGCTTTCTCTCTCCTTCAGATAAGATTTTGCTGATGTGGAACGCCTTATAGCCAGCTGACTAGGACCTATTATACTTGTTCTTATAAAAACTTTCTAGCGCTGAAATAGTGTTTTTGCGTACAGGAGGTTTAATAGACGCACAAAAACACGACGCCCAACCCGGCGGCCCCACATGCAGCAGTCTGCGCGCACAAGCCGGTGCCCCAAATTTGCAGCCCTCGTGCGCTAAATTTAAAGCTCCATTTTTATGCGTGCTCTATTTTACAACTTCTGCTAGAGCGCTGTTTTTGGTCTCGTGCGCTATATAGGCATCTTTTCCAGCGCGCGGCTTATATAGCGCCTCTTTGGAGATGCTCTGAGATTGGATGGTGCCCACGCGGAAATTTGGGCTGACCACTTGCTCCTCGAACATGCGGCAAAAATGCTAGTTGATGAGTGATTTTTACAGTCATGTTTACCCTAGTTTAAACTACATATTCTCATATATTATTTGTGTTTATTCTTTCAACTTGCCAGCAAATCATTAATAAATGCAAAACTGTGCAAATGTCCTTGTTTATATTATTTCTCGCATATATGAACGGTTTTAGGTGGAAATCAAGGCATATATGGGATATACTTAAGGAGAGGGTCATTTCCACATAAACTGGGGCGCTTCGCCGGCGGTCATGGCTTGTGTGGACCAGACCTTTGTAGAAAGCGCCCTATCATCTGAAGATCAAGATCTTCGGGGTAGCAGCTTCTGCGCGATCGCCTCCCACCAGGGGCAGATGTTACCAAGCCCCATGGGCCTGGCGGTGGATTGTGCCCTCTTTGTGGTGTTCCACAGATAGGGACCCACATCTTCTTTGGCTATCCCTTGCTCATTTTGTTTATTGCTTTGTTCGTGAGACTTTGGGGCCTGAGTGTGAGGCCCTGGACCTGGCTAGATTTCTGGAACCTCGAGACAAACAGTCCGGGAGGAGGAGACACCTTTTCTGGTTAGTGTACATAGTGATGATGCAAACCCTTTGGATGACGCGTAATAAGATGGTCATTGAGTGGGTCTTCTTATGGCAGGCCACTGACTATCTTTGAATTCCTGCCATTTTTTGCATCAATGGTATTCGCTCTCAAGACCAACATGTCAGCATGATGGACGTGATGCCTATGGAAGCCCATCACCTTGTTATTGGGAAACGTTGTAGAAAAAAAATTCCGCCCTACGATCACCCAGGAACAATATGAAGATGCATTAACAGTTTGGATTTGATCGTTATCGACTCCGAGTAGGAGCGGAAGAAGATGAGTCGATGTGGATGGTTTGGAGTCCCTTGAACTATAGATGAATAATCCCGTGAACCGCCCACGAACAGTCCCTTAAATGAAAGACCAAAAGCACGACCTCTCTACAAGTTGCAAGCGTACGGTCTTCACGATCCGGTAGTGCTTCGCCTTCCAGAGCTAATCGTCGCCGAAGAATTAGAGGGAAGAGATTAGAACCACACTAGTCTTCTAATTATGACAATTAGAGGATCTAGCTAGGTCTAGCACTAATTGATCAATTAGGACCAACTATAACTAGAGAACTAGAGGAGGCTTCAAAACTTGTGTCTTCAAAAGTGCCTAAGACCTCTAGTATATATAGGTTGGAGGAGGAGGGGATGCCAGAAGTAGGGGGCGGGGGGCCTCCCCCCGACTGGCCAAGAGGAGGGGGTTTCCCCCTCCAATTCGGTCTCGCATCCCTTCCTTCCATGGGGAGAGGGCCGCCACCTATATTTGGCCCTTCTAGCCAAATACTCCTTCCGCCACTTAGGCTATTAAGGACCATTGATATTAAACTAAATATAAAAGCCTCCTAACAATTACCAGAGCCTTTTATTATTAATTTAACATCATTAGAAATATTTTCCACCTACATATTATTTATGGAAAATACCCGGTATTGCCCGATAACTCGGAAACCCTTCCGCTGACTCTAAAAGGCTTCCGGTTCCTCTCCAAATTATTTCGAATATTAGTAAAACAATTACACAAATATATCCTCATTATTACTGTCCTACTAACACTCAACATACCGTAGTTATCTTAAGCTTGTGTGCCTGTAGGTTCGTTAATCATAGACATGAATGGAACCCCTTTCGTTCAGTGGCCTATAGCGGAACATATCCATCCCTATGAATACAGAATGACATTCGAGTTAACCTTTGGATATGATGTGATGTTAGCTTTGCTTCACGGTACTTTACGAAACCCAAGGCGAGATATGTCGGTATCCTCGCGAGTCATACACATGCTCAGTATACCAGTCTCCTCGTTATCGGTTTTGTTCTACTTTCTCGTTCACGTGTTCCGGCATCCCCATGACATAGTCACATGTGTCTGGCCATACGATGATGGATACCGTTGCACCGAGAGGCCCCTAAGAATATCTCTCCATCATTGGAGGAGCAAATTCCACTCTCTAGCTATCTAGTCCCTTGTTAAACTTCTTGATGAACCTGTAAGTTTTCGTTATGATCAATGTGTTACAGATGATGTTTGAGCAAACCCAAATTTCATCGTACGGTAAGAAGTGACTACGATACACTCATGGTCTAAGGAGGTAAATCATAGGTTAACACTTTGTGATGTAATAATTGACTTCTGACAATATTATCTCAAAGAATAACAAACAATTTTGGGTTGATTCAATATGATCGGTCTTCTATCGTTATGCCCTCATTATTGTTTTGAGACTATCGTTACACTTAATTATACCTCAAGATGTGGAAAACGTGATCACAAACAATACTTGAGCTAGTCTTAGAGGCAAGGCTAGGAATATTAACTTTTAATTATGAACAGACAAATATAATAATACAATATTA